TTCGGCATCTCCACTGCTGGGGGCGCTGCTGCCGGGGTCGCAGCTGCCGGGCCCGGAGTTGCCGCAGCGGCCACGGCCTCGCTTGGCTCTTGCACGGGATGCACGGCCATGTTCCGTTGTCCAGTGAAGTCGGTGGAGCCTCGGAGCGTGTGCACCATGACAACCAGGATGAGCCGCTGCAGCAGGACCTAATGCTGGGCAGAATTGGCAGATACAGTTTTTTGTAACCTAACTTTTCTTCAGCTCCAGCCTTTCGGTGCGTCGCATTTAATGTCAAAGTCAAGCATTGTGTTTGCGTGCGGATGCATGCGAGCTCCAACTGCCCGTAGCCAGCCGTCATGCTGACGACGACGGTCTCCTGAGGTTGCGCCCAGAAGTTGAGCATTTCCAGAAACACGCCTTCTTCGCATGTCCCTGGAAACCAAGCCAAGCCCTCTTCATCCGGCTCCGAGCCAAACGTTGTGCTTGCAGCGTCGGCCTTGGCACCTGAGTCCGCAGCACTGCCATCACCCTGCACGCTGAGATCCTTCTGCACCTCTGCCATCACTGACTTGGGAATCCGCACATTGTGGTCCTCGCCAGTCCTCAAGCGAATGCCACTGAACGATCGGGTGAAGGAGTTGCCGGGAAGGTTTAAGAATTTGCGGTCGCGGTTCTGCAAGGAGACATCCTTTTGGGTCAGCACCATCACGGTTTCGATGGGTTCGGGCAGCGCGGCGATGCTCGAGCGTGCCCTCGAAGAAGCGAAACCTTCGTTGCCGAACTCTTGATTGTCGTAGCAAAGTCGGACCAAGAAACTTGCCGCGCCCTTCCATTTCGGACTTTTGTTGATGGCCTTCTTGAACTTGTTGGATGCCTCCAGGCGGCGAGCATCTAGGATGACGAACATGTCTCTGTCTTCCGGGACGGCCGCAGTCAAGCATTTCAACAAGTGACTTTCGTCCAGCGGTGGGAGTAGAAACCACGGCCTCGTCGGGTACCGTTCCGAGAACTTGTCGTTGTCGGCTTTGCAGTCATAAAAGAAGACCACTCTGTCATCTGGGTTGCGCGACGACAGCATCGGGTGCTGCTGCAAGAAATGCTGCATGTCCGTTCGCGGCGTCTCGCAAAACGTGACGGTGCTTTGCACACCTGGGACGCTCGGATTGTCAAACGTCTGCCCCTCCAGAAACAAAGCGGGATCGAAATCCAACGCTACTTATCTTCATGCTGCTGCATTTGAAACATCACAGGAAGTTTCACATCAACATGCACATCTACTCACGTTCCTCAAACTCACACAGAACTTCTCTCTGCTGACACGGGGCGCGCCGAGGCGAACTGATGGAGCTTCGCAAGCACCGTCTCATCCTTCCCCGAGAACGTTTCAACCATCGAGTCTGGAATGATGAGATCAGGGAAGTACTTGGTCCACGCTGGCAGTGGGACCTCGGCTACCTCGTCCTCCACGACAGCCACCTCCTCCGATGCCCTGCTGGGCCCACCAGTCTCGGCATCCACTTCGCCACACGCTGCTGCAGGGACCGCACTGGGGGCGGCACTGGCCAAGGCACTTGCTGCGGAGAGCAAGCGTTCACGCTCCTCTCCAGCGCGCAACTCCTGAATTTTTTTCCACATGAGAATGCCTTCCAGCGCCGCCGTGGACAACAAGTCTTCCGCGTTCATGTGCGGATTGCCTTGCAGCGCTTCCTCCAAGGCCTCGTCCGCGGCTCCGTCCATCAACATTGCCAGCGATTCCCGGCACAGCTTCTCCGAGCCCAGCTTCGCAGCTGGCAACCCTTCATCAGGAACGAGGTCCCTGGCATGAGTCAGGCTGGTGCCTCTTGGCTGCGACTCATGAAAGGCCAGGAAACTCAGCCAGCACTGATAGCCCAGCTTCTCGCGCAAGAAGTGCAAGATCCTCCGAATGCCGAGGAATTTCACGCAAAGTGTCCGCACCATTTCGCGGCCGCCCTCCTGCCAATTA